AGAGAGAGAGAGAGAGAGAGAGAGGGAGAGAGAGAGAGAGAGAGAGAGAGAGAGAGAGAGAGAGAGAGAAAGAGAGGGAGATATGAAAAAATATTTAATAAAGTTAAAAAAAAAAATTCAAGATAAATTCACAGATACATTGATTTTGTAGTAAAAAATCAAATGCATGACTCTTTTGGACAGATGTATGATCATTTCGATCATAATTCTGTACGGTTCTGTAAGCTTATTGAAATTTTGTGGCAATTTTTATAATATTTTTCCCGTGAATAAAATTATGTACCGAATATTATGTAATATACCGAAATAAAGAATTGAATTTAAAAGCGATTTCGTCGCACACTTTCTGATAAAAAGATACACTCAATATTGTGCATCAAAATATATTTGAGCAAGGCAAACGTGACTGCGAACGCACTCGCAGCGGCTTTCCGTGATGCGGCCGATGAGCCCGCAGAGGATCATAGGAAGGTGGACGTTGCTGGTCTACGGAAGCCAGCAATCACTTCTAGGATATCCCGAAGGACGGCGAACGGAGGCGGCGGATTATTGTTGTCGCTGGTTCGACGCTCGCGGTTTGACGCCGGCTGACGGTGTCTAGACGCCGGTGTCCTCCTAGCCACTCCGTGGCATCTCCCGTGGGAAATGCGAGAGGTTTATATTCCCCCGTCGCCTCCCGCCTCTCGGCAAAATTGTCACCAACGGCGTAGCGCATCGCATCGCGTTACATCGCATCGCGTCGCTTCTGGAAACGAATGGACTCACGCGAAAACAAGAAAGGTAGCGCGATGTGTGCAAGTGAAGTGCACCCGCCAACATTATTAACCGCGAGCAAAAAAAACTAACACGAATGGGCACATCTTCCGACGTGGCGTATGAGGGCGCGAAGTTCCACGTAAGTCGTATAAACTGCTGAGTCGGCTTGTATGGGGTTGAACTTTCGCGCGCAGAAGTATAATTGACTTTAACGTTACTATTTGACTAAAGAAAGGATCGTCTACAATGCGGTCGCAATTGTATTAAAGTCGTAGTCATTTTAAAATAGCACTAGTTTGCGAATCGATCGTGTATCCATCCTCTTCACGTAAACTCGTGAGAAGTGGAATGTTTTGTTAAATTCGCCAATGAAACTTTTCATTTTTCGCGAGTTTACGCGGAGGAAATAGATGCATGATCGATTTACAGACTAGAGTTTTAAAACACAATTGCGACTGAATTATAGACGTTCCCTAACTATTTCTCAAATGGCTGTAATTCTTTCGTATTTTGTCTCTCAATACGAAGTTAAAATGTTAAAATCAATCTGGATTGTACAGGAGATGCTCATCAATATCTTTTTTTCGCGAGCTCAACGCGAGCTTTGATTTAGAAGAAGCGTGTGAGTTTTCTCACGATTTTTGCGTACCCCTCGCCAATCAAACGCCTACTTTAATTATTCTCGCCGCGTACGGTTAGTGCGTGAGAGCGAGAGCGAAAATCAGATTGAAAACCAAAGCGTAGCATTCCACGTAGCGAACACTGCATGATGTTTGGATCGCTAAGCATTATTCGAAGCGTTATTCGAAGCGTACGGAGAGATGCGATACGGTGCATCGACCGATGAAACCATCACGATGCAGGATATATACAATGTGTAAATCGCAAATGTTTACCCGCTATCAAATCGTTCGCGGACCGTAATTGGATCTAACCCTTCCACTTTCGACGGGGATCAGAGAGAAACTGACGAGAATGTTGTGAAAAAAAAATGAATAAAATAGTGCGACATCTGTGAGCACGGTGACTGACGAGCAATTCGTATTTTCGGAGATATAGTGGCGACACATCTGCATATATATATATATATATATAT